GAATTACCATCAGTAGTGCTAACGTGAGTGGCTGGTGAAGAAGCATTCATAAAGCTTTCAAGTCTGTTGCTGTTGGCTTATTGAGGGCTTTCTTCATCGTGAGCCTGAATAGATTTATTGTCTTGGTCATGGAGTGTGAACAAAAGTGATAGTGCTCACCAGGCATGCAGTTTTCTCAATTCTACTCAATTCTAATTGTGACTAATGAAAAGACTACTACATTTTTAGGTCGTGGTTCCAGGAAGCACTTTAAATAGAAGTAGCCTCCAGCGCTGTTCAAAATGCAATCTAAATAATGCAAGATTGTTAGCAGAAAATACAGCACTATTAAATAACACCAAGTAATGGACAACTATTCAAAGACATTATTCTTGATTAGGCTGGATCATTATTACTGAGTGCATGTGACCTTATTTGCACTCAGTAATACTTGTAGTCATTCAGGAAAGTTAAATAATCATTACTGATTAATTACTATTGATTATACTGAGTGTTTGTGTCCATATTTTGTGGATTTTCAGTGCTGTATTAGGAAGCATTGAAACTTTCCAAATATGTTTGAGTTTCTTCCTAGAAAAACGGTAACCCTTTTCAAAAGCAAGTAGTTTGGGAGAAAGTTGACTTGTGTTCCGTAAATCATATAAGTATTTCTGAAAAGCCCACCCAAAATGATGCATTTTTTTTCAGTCCAGAGAATTTCTGTTTCTGGTAAAATAATATGTTTTGTGTAGTTTGTGAGGATGAGACTTTTTTATAGCCTCTCAACTGAAACACATCATGGCAGTGTGCAAAGTGAGCCTTTCCACTCTGAGGTGAGGGACAGAGAAAATACCCACCAACTTTATTACATAAATAAATAGGTGGCATTTTGAAGAGAAGGGAGTAGGAAGGGGGAAGTCTGTGGTTCTGTTGAATACGCAACACTAACTATGCTGAAAATGGGAGGTTTCTGAAGATTGCCTGTTGATTTGCCTTGCAAATACCTCTTCCCGCAAACACTTGCTCATGGCACACCTTTGACAAGAAGCCATTTGCACAGTGTTTTGTCAGCGCTTGTTTAACATGAAGCTTAGAGCTGTGATGAAACGTCCCTATAGACCTTTTTATTTTCTTCCTAACTACAGGCTCGCTTGACAGAGTGACATGTTGAAACGTTGCATAAGAAAAGATTTGTTATGGAGCATGTTGGATTTATTATTTATTTAAAAAATTAAAAGCATTGTCATAAGTCTAATTGGAGGGAGTAAGCAGCCAGTATCGCTGGTGTCAGGGTTTGACTGACGGATCCCTTTCCAGGTGCACAGGGCAGTTTTTGCCTGCCGTGCCACCCTCTTGCCTCAGCCAAAAGCAGTTTGCAGCACAGCTGCAATGGGAGAGGCCGCAGCAAAGCAGCAGTATCTCCTGCAAGAGCTCTCCACAACTCCCTTCGATGGAGCAACCACCCAGCATGTCGGTTTTACTCCAGGCTTTTTTTGGTTGTGGTGCAGTCAATTAAAATGACAAAATGATGCATGATGGGAGGAAGACCCTCATTATATTGTCGCTTGTACTTTGTAGTTTGCTTTTAAAGGACTCTGTTTGCCATCACACATAATGAAGGGCAGAAGCTGTCAGTCTGGGTTGCAAGGATCCTGTGCAAAGTGCAAATGCTTCACAGTAACACCACGACAAACACCAGTTTGGGTTTGGTTTTTTTTTATTGTGTGCCTGATAGCTCTGTTAAAGATGCAAGTCTGAAGGAATTTAATTTAATCCTGTTTCCATGATTGTGAGGCACAGGAGCTGGGCTGATTGTGTTTATCCTACCCTGATATTAAGAAAAACTAGGCGTAGCTCACAATCCACTCACCTGGATTTAACTCTGTCAGGGTTCTTTGGTGACAGAGCAGGCAGTGGATCAAAGTGCTAAGAGATTATATTTTTCAAGATTTTAAGGCCAAAATGCATCTGTGTAACCAGCAGTCTGACTTTTTCCTATCTGCAGTGGGTGCTTGTTGCCAGGTGCTGGCAGCCAGGCTGCAGGGTCCCCTCTGAGGAGAAGCTGAGGGGCTGCCCTGTGCTGGGCACAGATGGTTCCAGACGGTTCCAGCAGCCCCACCACAGGGCAGAGCTGAGCCTCTCAGCCAGGCTGGCAGTGCCTCAGGGAAAAGGTACTTCAGGACGGGCAAAATGCTGCCTGTCAGTGAGGGGAAAAGTGTGAGAAACAGCCCAGGACAGCGAGGGCCAGGCGGGAGGAGGCATTCCAGGCCCTGAGCAGAGACTGCCCTGTGGCTGTGAGGAGACCCTGGGGGAGCTGGTTTTCCTGACAGGAACAGCAGCCATGGAGGGCCCACGCTGGAGGAATGGACAGACCACAACCCCCCCATCCCCACCCCCTGTGCCGCTCAGGGAGGGAGAGGTAGAGGAGTAAAAAAAAGGAGGTGAGGGGAACGTGGTTTAGCTGTTTTGTCTTTTTTACCATCGAAATCTGTTTTAAGTTGCAATTAATTAAAATACGTTTTTCCAAGTTGAGTCTGTTTTGCCCATGATGGTAATTGGTAAGTCATCTCCTTGTCATTATCTCAACCCACGAGCTTTTTAATTTTATTTTCTCCTTCCCATCCTGTTGAGGGGGAGTGAAAGAGCAGCTGGGTGGGTGGCTGGCAGCCAGTCCAGGTCAACCCACCACAGTATCACATGCTGAAGGATTTTATATAGCAATTCTGTCAGGGGGAGGAATTCTTCCTGCATGATGTGCTTTAACATCCAACACATAACCCTTCTTCTCAAATGTATAGCACTGTGTACTGGAGTGAAATCTGCTGAGGGTGGGAGGGAAAGA